TCTGAGAAAAGAATAGTGCAGCTCAGAACATTTCAGTGAAGTGTTTATTTAACACCTCTCTTCCCCCACCACAGCAGTTACTTGAGTTTGTAAAAAATAGTTGGCATGATTTGCTTACATTACATTTGTACATATCTGGTAGCTTTTAACAAAAGGCACGTCTAATAAAGTGTTGACTAAGCAGGAACATTATTTAACTCAGTCCCTTGTTTCGACAGTGCTGGCAGTGTCTGATGGTGACCAGTTCTTCAAGCACTGAGGTGCTGCTGGAGCCTTAGAGCAGGGTGAGGCCATTTGCTGTGTTTCACCCACGCTAGGCAAGAATGTGGTGATTGCTCTGCTGTAGTGTGATGGGAGTGCTGGTATGACAGGATTAATGAACTTAGGCCTTGGAGGTCCAGATCACTTTCTCAGTGCTTCTGCTGTAACAGAGTGATGTATAAAACAGCTATTGAAGGTGGTAAAGTTTGTGTAGTGCCTGGGTGAGAAACTTTTGTAGCTTAAATTTATGTGCATTTGCAGAATGATCTGTACAAATGTGTCATTGCCATATGCTTGTATTTACACATTATCCACTGAGAGACCTGCAGTGTCTTGTTTTTCTGTCTGTGTGGGATTTGGAGTCCTCTTCCCCCAGTGTCCATGTCAGCTCTTCAGTCATAAGCAGGCAGCCTCAACAGCAAGAACACAGTGGTTTGCATCAGAGAGTGCTGTATCCTCCTCACACCCGAGAGAGAAGATGTAAAGCTGTGAATGGAACTGAACAGCTCTGATCCATATGTTCCATCATTAATGCATTTTTGTATGAAAACCCTTGTTGGGAACAATGTAAATGTATTAAGGTGTGTGGGTGATTTCACAGAAACTTTAGATCTGCTCCTAGGTAGGTCCTGCAGAAATCTCTCTTGAAATGCTGTTTGCCTCTAGGAATAAATGGGACATGTGAACAGTGTAATTGCTTCCCAGCCATGCTGTCAGTCAGCTCCCTCCTTAGACACAGAGACATGAGGCACACCTCTTTATCTCTGAGCACCCATCAGCCTGGTTGCAAGCAGGTGACACGTAAGCCTCTTGGCTGTGTGCTAAGGAGGTGGTGCTAGAAAAATACTCCAACTGGAAGTACTATCTCCAGTGTGCCCTAACTATTCCTTTAGCAGAGGTTGGGGTAAGTGGTATACCTTCCTTTAAATTGATGTGCTTGAGAACTGTCTGATTAGCAGCATGTTCAGGTTTCCTGAGTTTTACACTGTGTGTATGTGTACACATTTTTATTTGCAGCTCAATGCTTGGTTGGTTTTTCTTGGCTTGTGTTTTCATTTATTCATCTCTTTTGCTTCTTCCTTTTTCCTTCTCCCCTCCATTAGCTTGGTAGCAGCACAGGAGTTGCATGTTTTGTGTAAGGCCATTCAGGAAGTATATTCCCTGTTCCCATACTGCATGGGGGAAATCCTGCATGCCAGATGAGTTTCCTTAATTTATACAGGAGCAATACTGCCATAGTCTTGAATGTTTTATCACACAATAGGGTTGTGATATTTGTGTCCCAGAGGCAAAAATATGAGCCTTTTAACATTGATTCCTGTTAATGGGAGAGTACCTCAGACTAGGAAATGCACTGAAAAAGAGGAGCACTTGCTTTTCAGTGTCCCTTCTTGATAAGCCACAGTCTGGATGTGTGTGCATGTGGAGGCTCCAGAGCAGCAGCTCTACAGGCACAGCTCAAGTGATGGCTGTGGGGTCATGTCAGCAATGGTAAGGGCCAATGGAGTTTTTCCAGCACTTGCTCATAGCTCCTGTCCATCTGCATACCAGGCAAAGTGCAAAGCCAGAGCTGAATGGGATTTAAGGAGGGATTTACAACAGGCAAAACTGTGGAGCTTAAAACTGTATCCATTAGTGAATGTTTATAACCAAACAAAATTTGGGAATTATTTTCTTTTGGTGACCTGATGAATTCTAATTGTATCATCAGTTTTCTCTGAATCTACCTCCTACTCTCCTGATAGATGAGGTATAGAAATGTGGAAGGAAAGACTGGAAAGTGTGGAGCCCTAAAGCCTAATAAAAAAAAAAAGCTAATTGGAGGGAAAAAATGGGATGGAGTTTTAGTAACAGGGCCATGACTTTTAAAAACTCCACAGGAGTTTTAACTATGAATGTACTTTGTAGTGAATATATTCTTATTTCTGTTCCATGGAGCTGGATGTGTCTGGACACTAGGACTGCAGGTCTCGGAAGTAGAGGGTGGAGATCACTTTTTAAATATTTGTACAGGGAGGAGGACAAGGCTGGAAACTGCTATGAAAATAGCTCTTTGCATGTCTCCAAGGATAGGTTAACTGTGCAGGGTTTCACAAGAACCACTCCCTGGAGATACCTGAATAATAGATTGACATTATGGGGTGCAGTGAGAGGTGTGTGCATTTCAAAGGCCGAAGGAGAAAATTTCCTTCTCAAGCAAATCTTTTAGAAGGCACTTTTATGCCTCTTCCTCGTGCTCTGTCAGTCCTTTGGAAATTTTATTTGTTACCAGCCATAGGGAGAATTGAGGTTTAAGTGGGCTGAATGATGTGACATGTTTGTCCAAACAGACACTCTACAAATCAGATACGACACTAGGAATAACTTTAGGTTTTACTTCCCCAAGGTCCTTGACTTTTCAGTTTTGGCCATAGCTTTCACCCAGCCCTGTCCAGTGAAAGGACTGTCACAGTTCCTTACAGTTTCATGTAGTCTTCCTCCAGAAGGTCTTGCATGGGTGCACGATAAATTGGCAGTGATTAGGTGTCACTATCATTTGTATTTGTTATTGAAAGTGTGTTCTATATACCTCTGGCTAGCTAATGAAATACTAACAAGCCAAGGCAATTACCTCTGTACAGGTGGGATAGCATGGTAAAGGGCATGAAGCTAGCACTGGCCCTAAGATTTACATTTAAGCCTTTTAAAGCAACAATTAATTTAGGGATAGATAATTGAATAGAGGGTGAGCTACTACAGCTCTTTGCCCCTGGAGAACATCTGAGGGCAAAGGAAACACCATGTATGAGATAGACGTCTAAATCAAATGCAGTCTAGGGGGAAAAAAACCCTCTTGTTTGCTTTTTTTAGAAATATTTATCCCTTTCTTCTAGTGCATTTCAATGAAAAGACTTTGTAGAGCTACAAGGTAGGCATTCTGGTTTGACTTTTTTTTCCTTCCCCAGTAAGGGAGAGGATTTAAAAAATGACACAAAACCCCCAAATCACTTTTGCTGATACATGTGAGTGTGTCTGATGGATCAGGGCTTTTAATTTCTTCTAAAAATACTCTTATGTCAGTGTGTGTGATTGCCTGTTCAACTTGCTCACTTGAATATGCAGCCCCTTCAGAGCTGTGTAGTGGATGCAGGCCTAGAGTTGTGAATGTATGTGAAAAGCTCACTGTAGCTATTGCTGCAGGGTTTTCCCTTTCAGTCTTCTGCTGTACTGCAAAACTTTGATTAAAACACAAGAGTGGGAAGTGACTTACCTGGCTGTGGTGTAGTAGTGAATGTGAACTGTCACTTAAAACCTCTTTCCTGCAAAGTTTTACTGGTATTGATGGCATTGATGGCTGGGGAACAGGAGACCTCAAGACTGAAAATGGCAAAAAAGCATCAGATACTTTCCAGTGAGTCCTCAGCTGGAGAGTATCTGGGGTGAATCTCACTGTTGTCTGCATTTGAGTGTGCTAAGGGCAGTGATGGCTGAGTCAATTAGTCACAGTTCTGACTTGTAACCAAGAGCAGGACTAAAATAAAGGTGAAGCTTTAAAGATAGTTACAGTTTTAGCAGGATGGTGGTGACTGACACCCACATACTGGGGACACAGAGTTTGTTCCAAACCTCAGGCTGTGAGCTGGTAGTCCAGAAATGAATTGGTGTTTTGCCATTGATGCCAAGTACTGAAGTGTTTGACTTGAAATGAATAATTTAATCTAGTTCAATCTACAAGTATTTCAAAAAATAAATTGCAATTGAAACAGCAGATTTTCATCTTTTAAAATTTTGTTTCATCATCTGATTTTTTTGCATTTCGATATCTATTTCTGTCATTCATAAGAGGCAATTTTATTCCAGTTTTATGTTGGGTTTAGAATGGTTATTTTAGGCTTATCTTTTCATGTTCATGGCTTTGAACAAAACACAAGGCAGCTCTCTGCTGTTTGTTTTGGGGGAGGAGAGGCTCAGTGGCTACTCAACAGGAAACCACTTACATCACACTTTATGATATACATGAAATTTGCCAGTGATTTTTGTTACACATTCTAGCTGTTCTGTGCTTAGATCAGAATATAGGTAATAGGTTTTTTTCAAAAGCACGAAAAGGATAGAGATAAGTTTCCTAAATGTGTATGAGCCATGGAAAAATATGTGTTGCTTAATGGCAATTCAGGATCAAGGTTTAGTTTGAATGATTAACTAGCATCGTGATCAAAACCTGAAAAACTGGAAATTGTTCCTCAAAACAAAATGACAAGAAGCTTTTTCAAGACTGAAAACCAGCTATTAATAGAAAAGTGTTGTCATTTTAATTTAAATATAGTTGGCAGTCTGAAAAAAGTGGGTTTTATTCACAGTGAGTGTGAGGCCAGAATTGCCTTGTGGGTACATTTAAGTAGCTTTTCTCAGCTTCCACGTGGATTAAAGAGAGTTCTGCAGTGCATATTCCAGATGTCTTGAGTATCGTGACCTTGATTTTCAGTCTTTCCTGAAGAAGTTAAAAATGTGTTGCCTTCTCTTTATAGTAAGAGGAATGTAATAAAATTAAAGATGCATTGTTTTCAATCATTGTTGAATTTGGTATTGGTAATTGGTGTAATTAAGCATTTTAGGGTAGGCCAGTGTACAGGAGTACAGGACTGGTCCCACTGCTCGATCCTTCACAGTTCAAATAGGGATTTGTATTTTAAACATTTGTCAAAAGAAGCCCTGGCAGAGCTGTTGACTCACTAATCCTTTTCACTTTGCTTTTGAAGGTGCCTCCTGAATTCTCACTATGTCTGATGGGGACTATGATTACCTCATAAAATTTCTAGCTCTCGGCGATTCCGGAGTGGGCAAGACCAGCCTTCTCTATCAGTACACCGATGGCAAATTCAACTCCAAGTTTATCACAACGGTGGGCATTGACTTCCGGGAAAAGAGAGTGGTGAGTCTTCACAAACCTGAATTTGTGAACTGCTGCTTGAAATGGTGTCTGTCTGGTTTTTAAAAGTCAGACCTGCCCATCCCTATGTGTAGGCATGTAATCAATAGTTACTGTGTGCTTAATCTTGTGAGAGAGTAAAGACTTCTTTTTCCTAGTTAGTTTTGCCATTGGTATATGTACAGATCTGTTCCCCCGAAATTAAAGAAGAGCTGATTCTAAGAAACCACTTCTTTCAGCACGTGTTCATCCGTGAGTTATGAACATAGTGCCTCGAGTAGCCCTTTTATTGTTGAACTCTCTTCACAAGGAAAGACTAAGCTGTAGTAAAAATGTTTTTGCTGTGTGTGAACAAAGACTGCAGTATTGATTTTAAAACCAGTTTAAAACATGTGGATGAAATGGGATAGCATGAGACATGCAGCTGCTCTGGCTTCCTGAGCAGTCACCACTAACAGAGAAGACTTGTGAAAAACAAGGTTGGTTTTTTTTTTTAACCCCTGAGTTGTTATTAAACTAAGCAAATGTACTTTTGATATGAAGCTGAGCAGTGTATTTTGATAAGCATGTTTGATAAGGATGCTGGTCCTTACTGCTCTGAGAAATGGAGTTGGCACAAGGCTTTTTTCATTCTTATGTGCAAGTATTAAATGCCTTTCAGTGCAGCCTGATGATTTCCCAAGTGCCCAGAAATCCAGATGGTGTGACGGGCATTGTGCAGACTGGCTTTTGATGTGTGAAATGCACCACAGTAGTGCAAGGAGTAACTGTCTTAGTGAAATGCAAAACTGGTCTCTTGATAAATTAGTATTCCTTTTGTGGGATAGGAAACGTGGTGGGTTTGCTTGCTGGCCATGTTTGATAACTCAGGATAAGGTTTAGGTTTCACAGCCTGAATCTTATCATGCACAAATTCAGCAAGATTATGTATCTCTAAAGATATGTTTGTAACTCTTGTAATCTTAGGTACAATGACAGTTGAAGGTAAAGAAGATGACCTAACTCAAAGTATTCTAAACAAGAATTGAATCTATTTTTATCTGATCCTTCCAAGACTAACAGATGCCCTTATTTATATTTTCATGCTGAGTAAACTCTTCAGCTGTTGTTATTACCATCCAATTCCTGCTTTATAAGCTGTTACATGATAAGATCTATCCGCAGCAATCTTTTGGCAGCTAAGAAGAGCTGTCATTATCTCAGAGTATGTTCTGTTTGCTAATTAGGTTCTGCTAGTGGTACAAATGCACTGCCAGATTGCATTGTTACTATCTTACTTTAATTTGAATATGGCACAGGATAATAGCAAAAATCCCAGAAAAAATATTAAAATTCATCTTGTCTCATGGCCACTCTAAATATCTGTATGGAGTCCATAGTCTGTTGCATGCTGGTCTTCCAGTTTCACTTTTAAATATTCAATTGGATGTGAAATTAAAATGCAGCCTGCATTACTTTTGTCATGGAGAGCAGAGAGATTGAGTTGTAGCTGAGATCTTTGCATTGGCAGTGCTAGTTTTGCTGCATGTAATGGCTTTAAATATCAGTTATTTTGTGTTCTGTAGCAGCTGGAATGCTAACTGTCCTGCAAATTCACCTTTTACAGGTGTATAGACCCAATGGGCCAGATGGTGTTGGTGGCAGAGGACAGAGGATACACCTTCAGCTCTGGGACACTGCAGGGCAGGAAAGGTATGACTCAGGGTGGGAACATGTACTTAACAGTGATGGAAAGTTTCCTATGAACACTCATTAAATGATAACTGTTATTTACAACTGTAGAACATGAAAACTGTAATTCTTGCTTTTTTGTATTTGGAACCTTTCGGTTTATATTTTCATGGCCAATGCATATAGATGCTTTCAAAGCTTTTCTTCTTAAAGTTTTCTTTGAATTTCTGTAGATATGTTGAGGTCTTTGGAAAGTCAGACAAGTAAAATCATCTCAAAGGATTCTTTTCTATTTTCCTATCAAAAGACTAGCATCCTCGTGGATGTGTATAGGAGATAAATTTCTGTTCAAAGTTGGAATTTAATTATTGTTTTAATTTCTGAATCTTGATCAAGGCGTGCTTTGTAATAGAAGACTTTGTCTAAAGCTCTCACACTCAAGTGAAATGTCTCCTTGACTCCTTAGGCCTTGATTATGCCATAGGAATGTTAGCAGTTCTTGTTACACAGTCCCTGCATCAGCAAAACAATTATGAATATTTCATTCGAGTTAATTCAGTCTGAAGTTACCTCAGTTTCATGACTGTATGCAATTATGTTTTCAGAGTAACTTGTCAGGTGAGCCAACTAATTTCACTTTGCTGCTCTAGGTTTCGTAGCTTGACAACGGCTTTTTTCAGAGATGCCATGGGGTTTCTTCTGCTCTTTGATCTGACAAATGAGCAAAGCTTTCTGAACGTCAGGAACTGGATAAGTATGGCCTTCTTTTCTTTTTCCCTTTCTTTCTTTGCCTGGGTGGGGAGGTGGCTATATAAATACGGAGTCTCACTGAGAAATAAAATACTGGTTTTTATAGCTTTCTCAGTAAAAGAATGTAAATGTTGCAGTCATACTTGTAATTGCTGCTAGTGATTTGCTTCTGGGGCTTACCTGAAATTCAGCTTTGCGTGCTGAACTTGAATCTTAACCTATATAAAAGCAAGCTGAGAAAACAGCATATCTCTGGCTCTGGTGCTGTTCAGTAATTGAAGTGTGTGGAAAGCCTACACAAAACTCTCTTTTGACTCACCTGAAGCTTTGTCAGCAAAACTTAATGGAAGGCAAATGTAATTAGGCTGGTATATCTAGGTAAAGGAGTTCCCAAACTGCATCATCCATCAGGAGAGGGAATTAGATCCTTTCCTGGCAGCTCACTGAAGATGCTTAGTGAGCATAACTTCTTAAGCTACAAATACTCAAGTTTCTGTGCTAACTTTGTCAGGCTTCTGTTTCCCTGGCATTTCCAGTGAGTACATGATAACCTGTTCTCTGGCTCCTCAGTGCAATAGCACAAGTCCTGTGTGATGACAGAGAACATAGGTGGTGTTCCTAGTGAGCTGTATGTGTGACAGTAAGTTGTGACACCTGTTCATGTTGGTGCTGTCAGGTCAGCTGCAAATGCATGCCTATTGTGAGAACCCTGACATCGTGCTGTGTGGAAACAAGAGTGATCTGGAAGACCAAAGGATGGTGAAAGAAGAAGAGGCTAAGGAACTTGCAGAAAAATATGGGTAAGTAACTTCCAGTTATTGCTGTGTTTAAAGCAGAATGAAATGTTTTCTGTAATGCCTTTTCTGTATACTGAAAGGTTATTGTGAGAATAAGCATTTTAGAATGCTTAACTGGCCAGTATGAGATCTTTTTTCTTCTGTCAAAGATGAATGTTTTCTGCATTGCTTAAAACTTAATACTTAATATTGCAATAATCTTACGCTGGAGATAAGTTCATCTTTTTTCCTTGGCAGTAAACAAAGTAAATTTTTACAAACATTCTGGAAAAGAGAATTTGCTCTTGCCTGTGCTGAGGCATCTGCACTCTCACAGGCTGCCAGGGAGTCTGAAAACTGAGTCAGACCAGCAGGAAGACAGGATAGCCTTGCCCTTCCCTACAGGCACAGGTCATGTGTCCCTGAAGGAAGTATGTGAAGTGTTTGTTCCTATCAAATATTAATTAACCCCCTAGTACTTTTATACCCCCTTAACTCTTTCATAGGGCTTATCTCTAGCTTACATTTGCATTTCAATTAATTAACCCCCTAGTACTTTTATACCTCCTTAACTCTTTCATAGGGCTCATCTCTAGCTTACATTTGCATTTCACTGTGGATCAGAAATCCACTTCTGAAGCAGGTCTTCTGATGTATTTATTGTGGTTTGATTCACATAGTGGAGCATATTTCTAGCACATTAACTAGATTCCTTCTCAACTGAAAATTCAACTGGATGATGTGCTCCAACCAGTAATCTGCATTCAGTCTGGAGGATTAGAACTGCTCCAGAGCAAAGCCCACAAGACATGCCTAGTGTGAACACAGCAGTCCTCTGTGTGAGCTGCCTTGTTCTGCAAGTCTTCTCCTGCTGTGTCATGCTGTTTCCTACCACATAGGCACAAATTAGGTTGCCTTGTCCTCAGAGAATCACTGGAGGCAAATCAGAAACAATTGTCTATTATAGACAAATGGGTTTAGTGCAATATTACCTTCTTACTTCTTCCTTCTCCTGTGAAAAGTCCATGTCCCACAGACAACAATAAGTGCATATGGCACTTTAACCAGCTGCTTGTGAAGGAACAAAAAGTTGCAAACAGCAGTAGATGGCATGTGACCATTTCTTAAATCTCTTTGCCTGTGGCTCGGGGAAATAATTGATAAAATATTTATTTTTGTGGCTGCAAATGCCAACTTAATTTAGAAATAGGGAGCTAAGAGTCAAGTTTGTGGATCACATCCACAAAAAAGTTCTTTGTCCTCTAGAGATGACACAGGATAGCTGCTAGGAGTCACTTTGTCCTGAGGGGAAGCAAGATAAATCCTGCTGCAGTGAACAGTCTTCTGGTAACAAAAGTGTGAGATAGTGAATATCCCTTTTCTGTGGAAGGGCCTTGTACTGAGTGATATATTTGAAAATGATTGTGGGAGACCTAAACTATAAAGTATTTTTGACCGCTCATTGAGTCTTGCAGGTTAAGTAGGAAGTACTTAAAATTCTGCAGTGATGATAGCTGTTTCCTGGGCAGTTACAGTAATGTCGTTGCTGTGGAGCACTAAGTGCCAACAGTCACAGCCTGTGGACCTGCCATTGGAACATCCTGATCCACAACAAGAATGAAAATGAGCAATGTATTTTCCATACCATGGCACAGAAACATTTGTTAACAAAAACATCAGTGGTCTGAGCACTGACACTTTTGTAATGTAAGAAAGTTTAGAATTGAGGTGCCAACAGAAGAAATGGTCACCTCCTGCAGAGATAAGAACCATACTGTGAGTCTTTAATGCTTTGCCTGCAGAAGAATGGCACTACCAGCATTCCCTCTCTTGCAGTGACTCCTGAGCTGATGTGCATAGAAACCAGTAAGGAGAACACTTATGCACACAAGGATATAGAAAGTAATTGCATCTCTTGCAGGGAATGGAGCTTAAAACCCAGACCTCAGGAGCATAATTTTGGGAGCTCATACTGACCAGTACCTGTGTAAATTGTGGACTTCATTAAAGTTTACCCTTCTGCCCTACCTACAAAGTCAGCCAGTTCATTCATTTCTTTTACATTTCAGACCACTGAGCACTTAGTGTCTTTCTGCTATGGAGTAGCAGTGACAGCCTTTATGTGGTTTCTAAATATGTGCCAATAATCCTGTATTGTTGCTTTCTCCTATGTGTATAAACTCTCTGATGTGTGTATTGTTGTTTCCTGCAGAATACCATATTTTGAAACCAGTGCAGCTAATGGGAATAATGTAAGCAAAGCCATTGAAACTCTGCTTGACCTCATTATGAAGCGCATGGAACGGTGTGTGGATAAATCCTGGATCCCCGAAGGGGTCGTGCGCTCCAACGGGCACAGCTCCACAGAACAACTGCATGAGGAGCAAGAAAAAGGCAGATGTGGCTGTTAGCTCAGTTGCAATTAAGTTTAATATGTATGATAAAGTATAGTACAGTTGCAGCTTAACTGTTTAACTTATGGACAAATCACATTGTGTAGTTATTTAATGAGCTGTATTCATTCTGGCTACTAATTTCTGTTTTCTTCCTCTCAACACTGACCTTTGCTTGCAAGGTATGCAGTTCATTAGTGATGGGACAGAGGTTTAATTTGGTGTAGCACTGGATATTCCTCTAATTCTTTGCTTTGGAGGAAAGGGAAGGAAAGGAATTTTTATTACCAAATTCAGAAACATGTCTATGGGCAGTGAGAAAGGGTAGGCTTCTGCTCTGAAGGATTTCTAGTTGCCCTTTAAAGGCTCCATTAACTACACAGACTAGGCCTTTAGATATTGTGACAGCTCTTGGTCTCTACTAACAACAAACTTACCAACATGGTTCTTGGTTTTGAACAGAAGCACTTAATCATTTCACCAGTCAATAACAATCTCAAACAGTCAATCCTATGTTTGCCACAAAAGCCTGTGAGTCGCTTTTCCTTGCTCTCTCAAACCATCAGTTTTTAGTGAAGAAAACCAGAAGAAAGCTACTCAATAAAGAATAAAAAACTGCAGAGAAGCACAGGGATGTGCACATAGAGCACTTGGGGTGTGTCATATAATTGAACATGTAAACTACAACTGTACTATATAAAATACATCCAACAGAGCCTATGAGACCTCCTGACATCATTTGAATTTCTAGAACATGGCAATCCATATATTTATATGTAAATGGCATAGCTGTACATCTGTTATGTTTCTTTTGTATTATCACTCATGTTTTAACAGGAATATAGGCCAATAGCAAAATTTCATCCGAGCTGGCGCTTTGCACTGAATTTGTTTTACCCAACGCAGATTCAGAATGTTTCCTCAAATTTGGATTGAAAAATGAATGATGATTGTCTTCTGGTAAAATGCAGCTAAGATACTAGTTCTGTAGATCAATATTTCTATAAATTTATAATGCTCATTTTATTCTGCCAACCTTTGTGTCCTGTACATCTTGGTTGTCATGTATTCACTTATGAATTGTTCATTTTAGGTTGTATTTAAAAAAAGAACAGTTGCTTTTCTTTCTCCCCTACTATGGATTATATAAGTGTCAGTTTTGGTTTCAGTGGATCATGTTACTCTGACCATTTTTATTTATTTGTACAACCTAAGGAACAATCAGTATTTTTTGGGTCTTTTTTTTTCCAGACTGATTAATAAGATGTGCCTACCAAACTGTTTTCTACCCTGGCAGAGGTTGTAGAACTGTAAACTATTGCCACTTAAAGTTATAATGTGCCAAATTGAGTCTTGTTACAGACTGTCCACAGCATTTTGTTTACAAAGCTCCAAAGCTATTGCTTCTTTAGAAATTATGTATTTATTTATTTAAATATTCTAACTACTGCAATTTCAGGCAAGCATTGATACCAGTTATGAACATGAATTGCAGCTTAACAAATTTTTTGAAGGAAGGACCAAAAATGTTTCTAGAATAGGAGCTAAGAAAAACAACATATCTTTGCTGTAGCTTCTGGTTATATTAATTAATGCAAGAATAAGTGTTAAAACTTGGTTCTTAAAATATTTTACCAAGTAATGCATTGTTCTTTAACAAACACACCATGTAAATATTAGATTTTTATCACAGCCTACACAGAATATTTTAAAAGTGCAATATAATTTGACTGGTCTGGGGCTAGGACAGAGATAAAACCAATTTATATAGATAAATATAGGGTTTGGGGTTTTTTTCTACTGCACAATACCAAGATTCTGAAATGCTTGTAGACCGGAGTTACTGTAGTTGAACTCAGAGTGCCTTTTGAAGTTCCCATCATGTCTCTGACCAGTAGAGTGACAAACTCTAAGACACAATACATTTCAGTGTACTTCAGTGTCTGAATTGCTTTGAATGTAACTCTTTGCCTTTCAGAGGGTTGCAGTGGAACTTTGTCATGCATTAACTTTAGTGGGAGTTTTTGTGCTTTTAGCTCCATCTGGTTCCTGAAAACTTTAAGGATTATTGCAGCCAACTACTGAGCTAAGTGACTACTGAAATGGTGTAAAAATATTTCCTTTTGAATACTTATGTTTAAATTGGATATTAAATATTAAATACTGAAACTGTCATATTTTTGTCATGCGTTTTATTTGTAACTATTTACAGAGAAATTGCACATAAAATTGCTTTGATGTCAGCCTTTGAAATGTGCCGTGAGGTTTATATCTGTTGGAGTAATTCTGTGACAAAACTTCTGTTCTCTTTTAAATTCTCATGAAAATTCATGGTAAATGTTTCTTGACAGTAAATGACACTGTTCTTACTAGTCTAGCACTGGTTTGAAAAAAACCCAAAGAAACAAAGAAGAATTTTTATGTGATGAGAAACTGTTACTCCAAGAAAAGTTGTTTCTATCCAGTGTCAGATGAAAACATTGTTCTGTACTGGAACGAAGTTTTGGAAAGGATTTCTGTTATGATGCATTGTCCCAGGATTTCTTATTGATATAGAACAGTTAAACATTCCTGATCTGCACTTTGCTGACATTGTTGAACTGAATTGTCACATTTCCTGTTGTCTCAGTCCAGTATCAGTCTGTCCTTTTGCACTGTCCCTGTGCATTGTGGGGTTTCTTAGTTCAAATGCACTTAAGGTCTATGCTGTGGCCTAGATGGTACTTGGTGTTCCCCTCCTTGCACTGACCAAACCAGTCAGATGTGTGCCTGATGCATCCTGAGTGATGCCAGAAGGAGCTCAAACCCACAGGAGACAATCACAGCAGTTTTGTAGACATTCAGATGCTGTGAATCTGAGCATGTTGCATGTTCAGAGCAAAGGGATTTTGTAAAATCTATTGCTTCTACAAAGGTAAGGAGCCTGATTTTTCTGAATAACTGCTTCCTTCAAGAACAGTGTATATTACTAGGTAGGTTTCTGTCACAGCCCCAGAGCTCTCCCTCTGGTGAGCAGCATGAGAGTAACTAACATCCTGTGCAGTCCTATCTCACTCACTGTCTCTGAGTCAGTTTGGAGCTGATGTTCCTTAGGGCTGGGGTGAGTACTGGTCACCAGTCATATGCTCTGGCCCATGACTCCTGTGGCTGAGGTCTGGTTTTCAAAGAGATGGGAGACAAGTTCTGTGCTGATAAGGTATTTGACTACTGTGCTAAAGCAGTTTTGCTTCCTTCCTTTGATCTTTCTTAATATAGCATTGATTGCCCTTTTTGTTGTTCTAGAAATCAGAAAGCAAAAACTCCTCTAAAGGCACATGCAATTCAACACATAGATTTATTTTCACCCAATACTCAATTTCTTTTATATGGCGAAGTCGGAACTGTGGTGGTAAAGACTTAGGTGGTGAGGAAGATTTCAGACTCTGAGCTGGGACAGCATCCCAAGACTGAAGATTTAGAGGTACAGGGCCTAGCATTTAGGTCCTTTCACAATAAACAGGTAACTATAGGAGAGGGGACAGGAGGAGTAATAGGTTCCTATACTGCGTGCAGAGTCATTGGTTTTAGACAGTACATCAACTTTTCCTGTAAAAATTAATTCCCCTGTAGAAGACTTGGATCTTACAGGTATGAAAACAGCAGGAGGTGTTTTTCCTGAATTTTAGAGTAAATCGCCTGTAGATTTAAAAATCTTTATCTGACTCTATTTCCTTGCGTTTCTGTGTTCATGTTAATATTGGGCTGTTTCAACTTCATTCATTTCTCACAATTAGATCAAAAGTTTCCATTTATACAGAGAAACCAGAGGGGCTCGAACACAAAATTTTTTAATTTGTATTTAATTTCCATACTAGGATGTGAATGTATGTTTTGAGGAAATAGTCATTTGGGAAAGAGAAAAGTCAGCTTCCTACTGAAGATGCAGTATTGTCTAATAGTTCATCCTACCTTCTGTGTATGGGTTGGTTTTTGCTTTTAATACTTTTATGAGCACAAGCAGCTCTGTGTCTCACAGGATTCTCTCTGGTCAGATCAAAGGCTGGACCACGCTCTTGGCAAAATGGATTGCAATGAGCATCCACGTGGCTGATGAGTGAATATAGTGTGTTTTTGGCATATTAGTGATTTTGTAGTGTGTGGATTTTGGCTGGGGCAGAGCCAACTTTCTTCACAGTGACTAGTAGGGGGCTATGCTATGGATTTGTTCTGAGCACACGGTTGGTAAGATGATGTTTTTGTTATTGCTGAGCAGAGCTCACACAGAGCCAAGGCCTTTTCTGCCTCCCGTACTGCTACGCTGGCAAGTGAGTTGGGGGTGCATGGGACACTGGGAGGAGACACAGCTGGGAGAGGTGACCCAAACTAACCAAAAGGGTATTCCATACCATAGGACATCATGCTCAGTATATCAAATGGGGGAATGAACGAGGAGAGGAGGAACACTTGGAGTGACAGGAGGATGTTTGGAGCGAAGGCATTTGTATTCCCAAGTACTCATTACATGTGATAGGGCCCTGCTCTCCTGGGGATGGCTGAACACCTCCTGCCCATGGGAAGCAGTGAATTAATCGTTTTGCTTTGCTTGTGTGCGTGGCTTTTGCTTTCCTATTAAAGCATGTTTATCTCAACCCACAAGTTTTCCAGCTTTTACCCCTCCTATCCTCTCCCCCATCCCACTCGTGGGGGAGCGAGCAAGCGGCTTGCATGGAGCTTGGTGGCTGCGGGGGTAAAAGCACGACAAGTGGATACTCTTCTCCCCCTTTCCCCTCAGTGAGGTGTTCGACAAGATGCG